AAATATTTTTATTTTGATTGCATTGAGGCAGCTTTCTAAGAATTTACTTGGTGTGAACATGACAAATAATACCCCTCTTAGAGCAAAATTTTAATATGATAGAGCTGGTGGACTTGATTCAATAGTTTAATACGTCTGCTTTCTAAAACAATTGTGTCCAAGAAAAAGGTGCCTTGGTTTTCAATATTATTTGCTAGGAAGACAGTTAAAAGTATAAACTTCAAAACTAACTATCCAGACGTTTCATTGATTCAAACGTAATGCCAAGTAATTCCATCTCAAAATGACAACATTTATTGTGAGTTAGATCAGAACATGCAGTAGACTCAAATATTAGCAAACAGCATTGAGACGAACAGAGACAACTTACACACTCAGTTATCTGGGCACTTCCAGTTGCTGGTAAAGCTGTGCTGTTCACGTTGGATGCCTCTGAGCCAGTCATGTTGGTGGGCGTAGACGGACAATTTGGCACTGTCAGACTCTCTATCGGTTAATCTATGGCAGCTGCACTAGAAGACATTGCCTGTGAATAAAGCAACATACAACCTTTAAAAATAAATTAAATTAACCATATGTGTCTAATAAATTGAAGCGAGTATAACCTACTCGTCTTGAGATTTAAAGCTTCAAAAAATGTTACACAACTGGTTCTTTACAGCGATTAGATTAAGGTAAGAAAAAGAGGAAAATATAAGGATATGTAATGCAGAAAGTGAGGCAAATAACAGAAAAGTAAAAAGTTCACTCACAGGAGTTGACTGCTGCCAGAATGAATGACTGCCAACTGGGTAGTTAGTAGGCCATTAGAAAAAACCTGAGATGAAAACACAAAGTAAATATCTGGTAGTTTACAAAAATGAAAACATGAAGACTATGATAAATAGTTAATTAACGTATTTGAGAGAAGTCATCGAGTAGTATTCAATTCACCAGATTAAAAACTTAATACATTCTAACACCATTCATGTAGGTATATAACCTAACCAGCCACGAGAATTTTTCAAAATTAGAAAAAAAAGACGACAACAATTTGCAATGAAACAATATTTTAGTTTGGAAAGTATAAAAACGTTTTCACAATTTGTAAAACGACAACTAGACGAAACTCACCAACAAATGCACCACTCAATCTGCAGCAACGGCAACGGCACACAACATTAACTCCAGCAATGGCGGGGAAAACGCACTGTTGCTGCTCCAGCTTTCCGCTCGGATCAAGGCGAACTGAGTTCCGAATCAATGGGGGTCGGCTCCGCTCGGCTGGGCTCGGCTCCGCGCTCGGTTCCCTCGACTCCAGCCCCGGAGCCCCGCTTGTAGCCAGGAGTATAGATAGCTGCCACACGGTTTCGCGGCTTTCCTCTGGCATCGTGCATCAAGTGCGGTATTGATATTTGTGAATATTTTATTGCGGTTGATCGAAAGATTCTCGATGATTCCCGGTGATTCCCGGTGATTCCCGGTGATTCCCGGTGATTTTTCATTGATTCCCGGTGATTCCCGGTGATTCCTGGTGATTCCCGATGATTCCCGATGATTCCCGGCGATTCCCGGCGATTCCCGGCGATTCCCGGTGATTCCCTTGATTCCCGCATGATTCCCGTGATTCCGCATGATTCCGGCATGATTCCCGGCCCGGTGTACACATGATTCCCGGAGTTATTGCCCCCTCG